AAAATATTCTTTTATGGTTTATTCTTATCCATGAATTATCTCAATAAGACAAATACAAAGGAAAACAAAGTTAGAAAATTACCAATAATATAATAGTAATTATCAATAATCATCAATAACTGGATAAAGTTGGAGGAACAGAGTATTTTTATAGTCTCAAAGTGCCTTTCCACAAAATACTTAGTAATTGTAATGAAAAAAAAAACAGTAACTTTACAATGGATTAATTCAGCAACTCCAACCTCAATAAGCAATTTAACTTAATATTACTAAAAGTAGGACAATGTAATTCAGTATTGTGTGCTCTCTGTCATGTTCTGAAACTGTAACTTTTCTGATTCTCCTGTCAAATTGTATAATCTCCCTCAATCCTGAGAAAACATGAGACAAACTAAATTGAGGGACATTGAACAAAACAACTGACTTTTACTTTTCAAAACTGCCAAGATCATAAAGACAAAGGAAGACTGAGAATTAAAGGAAAAATGAAACTAATTATAAGATATTATTGTATCCTAATAAGAAAGAAAGAGATGGGCAAAATTTGAATAAAACTCCAAATTAGATAACAACATGCTTCCTAACTTTGATAAATGTACAATAATTATGTAACATAAAATCATTTGCAGGAAATACATATTTAGAGCTTAAAAGACAGGTGGTTTAGATAATATTTATCAAAAATTTGATGAGATGAATGAGGAAGAATATTAACAATTAACCTGAGAAATGGAATATAAGGGCTATACATTTCTTGAAACATTTTTGTAAATATAAAATCATATCAAAATCTTAAAATTATGACACTCCATCAAATTAATGAAATGACTTAAAATGATGACAGAGACATTCATTTTTTGGTTTTAAAAAAAGATGTCAGGGGCCAGGGGTTTAGTTCAGTGGCACAAATGCCTGCCTGGCAAGCATGAGGTCATGAGTTTGATCCCCAGTACCAAAAAAAAAAAAAAAAAGATATCAATGGTAGTGAAAAAAAGCCTAAGACTCACTTTATCCTATTTTGTTATATACCTGTATTCACAGATGCACAGAAAAAAATTCTAAAGGATATTCACCATAATTTTAATATCTGTGATTTTTGTATATTGAGATTATGTGTGACTATTTGTTTCTCCATGTTTGCTAATTTCCTACAGTAAACATGAACTCTACAAATAGTTCTCTTTCTGGGGAAGAAATGTTATCTTCTTAAAAAAGAAACATAGCACATCTCTAAGGTAGTCCAAGTCTTATTTTGTTCACGATAGAATGAATGATTACATGCTTTTACAATTTACTTTCTCAGTATTCCATACATAATTTGTGTTTTTAACTATATGACTATGCCTTACATTCGTATCATCTGCCTTTACAAAAGAGAATGCAAAATAGGTTATTATTCTATATAACTATTTTCTTTTGTTTGTGATGAGCTGCTCTTAGTATCTGCTTCTCTGATTTTTACCAAAAACTCTGGTTTTTTCCCCATGCTCTTTTCTCATGAGCTCCTCAATGCCAGGGTGTCAATGGATATTCAAAGCATGGAATAAATATGTTTCATTCTTGGAGGAGCACTTTTAGACATAGGAGGTAGAAGATGTCATTATTAGAGTAAAGCAAACCATTGTATTGTATAGTCTAACTGAAAAGTCCCATAAATTTTAAAAACAAAGTGGGAAATTACAAATGATTTCAGTTCATAAGGCAGGCCTTTTTATTCTATCCCTTAAAATTCTGATATGAATTCATTTCTGATCTGCTTTTAAAGATTCATTGAGGGAAAGATTTGAGAAGCAGAGATCAAAAACACTCATCCTCTATTAGCTATTGATTCTTAGCAGCATGTGAAATGACCCCATCCCGGGACCAATGCCCTTCACACAGCCATTTTTGCTCAGGAACTGAACAAGATAATGTTCGAGCCACGATATTTTTTTAAAGATTGGGCTCTGAAACATGTGTAAAACAAAACAACAACAACAAAAATACCCCCCAATTGCTTAGTAATAGATGTGCACAGTGAGCCCTGGCGGGCAGGAGCAGGGGTTTCCAGCAAAAAGACACTGCCTGCTTTTTTCAAGACCTTTTCTCAAGAGAGACCTGCTTTTTTTAAAAAACAGTTCGTAATACATAAAGCTTTAGACTGTAGACATTAAAATTGAAATTTAGGAGAGTAAAGACACCCAGGAAAAATCTTGACAAAATAATCTAAGATTAGACTATTTTAAATTTAGGCAATTGTCATTTATAAAAAAGAAAAACTTCAATGTTCTAAATCACTTTTAATATATGCACAAGAATATATCTCCATTTAGGCTTTTTGGATTGCCTGTAATAAAGACAGTCTCAACTATTAAAAAATATCTATAATAATGAGAGCTTGATCCCTTAAGAACAGACAGTTTTAGGAAAAAACAAAACAAAAAAACTCTAGCTGGTGAAATCAATTTTCCTCTGATGTACTGCTTACTTGCCTGATTTACTATGCAAACATTTTATAATGTGTCTGATCTTTAAGGCACTCCTTAAATGCAACGAAGTCCCAGATTTGTTTTCTAAATAACTAAATACTGGGTGGTTTTTTTTTTGGTTTTTTGCTTGGTGGGAGAAATAGTAGTGTGAAACAGTGCATATTTAAGATTGGGTACAGCAGTGTTTAATTACCATTTCAAAGGGTTGCTTCAAATACAGAAGTGTTTTCTGTTCTTATTCCAGTGACGTTTGTCAATTATTTTGTTTTGGACTTTCCACTACATTTGATTTACTTAAAGTCAACCCAAGGGATCAAAATCACCTCATTTGGCAACAAGAAAGCAATGATCATATAAAACTTGCCCTACCAATAGCAACTACTCAGGAAAGATACATTAAATTAATTTGCTGGCTTGATACATATAATAATTTGAGTGGAGCAGAATGGTTCATTGCAAGAAACCAGCCTCCTCTTACCTTTATAGGAAGAGCATTAACAGACGTCCTTCGCTAAATAGCAGTAAGACTGTAAGACTTGAATAACAAGCCTAATAATTTTGTTGTGAAATAAAATATGAATGTGAAATAAAATTTTAGAGTGGCCGTTAAGCTAAATCAGGAAAAGTATCCAATTTGGGCTTAGCACAATATGTTTGATGACCACCACATTAGCAATATTTTGTCAGTGTTTCTCAAAATATGCTCCTTTGATTACCTACAATAGAAATGCAGTGCTAGTTCATTCAAAAAATAATAAATAAAATACAGTACTGATGGTAAATGATTCAGAGCAAAATAAAGCAGGAAACTGCTATGAGATGTTGAAAGGAAGTTAAAAATACAGGTGAGATGTCAGAGAACTACTACTCATGGGAAGTGGACTTTTGAGTAGACTTAAAGGTGCAAATCATGCAGCTATTTGAGGTAAGAGTTTCCTAACAATGGTGACAGCATATGCTAAGGCCCTGAGTTGAGTTTCAAGGAATAGCACAAAGGTCAGGTGAATTAGCAAAAGGGAGTAAGAAAGATAAAGGCCTAGAAGGTGGACCGTAAAGTTCTTGGAGTCATAGTAAAGCATTTTGTCCATTGAGTGAGATAAGAAAGAAAAGACTTGAGTTTTTAAGCGAAAAAGTGATCCAACTTAGGTTTTTAACAGTCTCACTCTGGGTGCTCTGTTGGGAGTATATAACATGTATGCAAGGACAAAGCAGGAAGAAAAGCTATTTGCTTTAAAAGGCAGAGTTTGGAATTTGTGTTTTTAACTAGGTCCCTAGGTGATTCTTAGATATAGTGAAAATTAAGATCTACAACTTGAAATTACCTAAGCAATAGAGACAAAAAAAAAAAAAAAAAAGATTTTATGACCGGATTACTTAATAACAACTAACATGTCACTTTGTTTTGGCTCTAAATAAACTGGATGTAAATTGTTTGGACTGGATTCAGGATTTGAACCTGTAATGTGCAACCAGTGGTTTAGGAAAAAAATTCCAGAGAGATCTTGGACCCCTGCTCTGTGACACAGGACACCTACTGAGAGAGGTTTCATCTACCAAGTATACTAGGGTTCATATAATCACACAGTGGTAGTGTATTTGTTAGGTTTCAGTGTAAGTATACCACAAGCATGTCAAGGTTCGGCATTCAGTTAAAACATGGGAAGAGACTTTTCTCAATATTTTTAAAATAAAGATTTTTTTCTTTTTAAATGGACACAAGTACTTATGTATTGTTTTGTATAGATTCTATAGTTATATAGTATATTATAGATTCTAAATGTATACTTATAATCAAGGCTTTTTAATATACTAAATAGAAATCTATTTTCAAAAAAATTGACAATTCTTTCTGAGTGAGAAATAACAACTAGCATTTGTATAGTACTTTATAACCAAGATAATTATAAGACCCAGTTCCACAATAAAATGCATAAAAAATTCTTTTATTGTCATACCATAAGCACATATATACCCTATATATTAACTATGTTGCAATCTATTCAACAGAAATAAAGACTGTATTCCATTTATTTTTGTATTTTTTGCATACATTTGAATTATTTTATGTGCTCTTTCCAAATCCTGTATGCAGTTGGCACACAGGTAAATTTTTAACTGATCGTGGACAAACCAATGTAGAGTAAAGCAACACCAAGAATCAGTCACTAAATATTTCCTTATATTTACTTAAACTTCTTTGACTCCATCCAAAATCAAAAATTTAAAAATTTCAAGAGGATAAAACTTAGTAAATGAAAGAGATATATCTCTTTATCTATATTTATAAATATATGAAAGTGGACTGGACCAACAATTGAGTTTTCAGGAGAACATTAACATCAGGCTGCTATTTTTCCTTGAGTACAATTTCTCAAGAGTTTCGATCTTTAAGACCTGATTCAGTGTGAATTTTTACAAAGACGCATAAAGTAAACTACGTTTTTAAAGAACATTCATTGATAGCTCCCAAGGTACAGGCTGTTATTTGGATACAGTACAGATAACTGACTATAAATAATGGATACTGATTACCTTCTTGAGAGGAAAAAGGCTCGAGATGTTGAAGTTTAAGGCCAGTGTCTAATCTCTGAGGCTTTGTGTACAGAAATAAATAGCAGAGGACACAGACGCTGATTACAAAGGCGAGTAAAACAAGAGCAGCGATTCCCAAGCCAATCAGAGCACCAACGCTGAGGAAAACAGAAAAACACAAATTGGCTTGCATACAAATGAAGGAAAACGGTTAAAAACATTAATTCTTCTTGTCTCAATCATTCATCACCAATAAACAATAAATGATTGAAATTTGTAGCTCACCTTTCCTCTACCATCAAACTCATTCTTTTTTCTATAGTTTTGAGATTCTTTGAGATTTATACTTTAATATTAATATGAAGATGATACAAATGCATTATATAGGTAAAAAAAATTCAAGAGATTCCCTAGATAATTCAGTCAAATATATTTGCTATTATGTTTTAGAAGGTAAGATCAAGTTTAACAGTAAAAAGTGAATAAAAATATTTGCTTTTGTTAAAGTTGTAAAACAAATGTTTAGAAAAATACAAAACTTTTGGAGACGTATGTGAGATGCCATTTACTGATACACAAAATTATAACTATTATGAAAGAGAAGATTTGAACTATAGGAAAAAAATGTTTGGAAACTGTATGTGAAGTTCAAGTTCAATGTAAATTTTTACTTTCTAGAAGGGTATCATACCAAAGACCTCTAGCATTAAGAAAGAAACTGGTACTTTTCTCCTGTGACTGATTCTTGGTGTTGCTTTGCTCTACATTGGTTTGTCCACGATCAGTTAAAAATTTACCTGTGTGCCAACTGCATACAGGATTTGGAAAGAGCACATAAAATAATTCAAATTATGGTTTATAACTGACTGTATTTGCTTTGCACTAAATTTGGAAAAACCCTTTGATACAGTTGTTACATGTAACACAAATCATTTGGGAAGTAATATACTTCTCATAAACCTGCAAACAGCACCATTAAATGGGAAAAGGAACTTGAAAATAAACATCATCTTGAAGACCTGCTATGCAACATGTACCGTTTCTTGTAATATATGTGTGTGTAAATATTTATAATTAGTTTTTAAGCTATTCAAGAAGATATTTTGACTTCTCCATAGAGTTGTTCAGACTTAGAAGTGTTTACATACTTAGGTTGCATGAAATATTCAATACATGAAAGTAAAGGACAATTGATGCTGAATGATCTACCCGTAGTAAGTTGGAATACATCCTTCAAAACTAATAATCTTTTATTCCATTACCTTTCTGCTTTGGCTTTAGATTTCTGTTCTCTCCTTGGAATTAGGGGATAGAGAAGCCAAAGGGAGGGAAAAGAGAATCTGACCGAGGATGCTATGCTCCCATCATAGCTTTGGGAGGAAGAACAGCAGTGAAAGTGAAGACTACCCTTATCCCACTTGTCCTTGTTTGTGGTGATAAAGCATTCTTGCAAATGAGAGATTGTCTCTTGAGCTATAACATGATGTCAGGCTTTCAGAGTTCTTGTGCTTAGTTTATTAACGTTAACCCTACCCCTGAACACAAGACTGAGTAATGTTATGGCAGAATCAGTGCAAGGTTATACATTTAAACTTGGGGGTTGTCTTTACTTTCCTCTAAGGGGATAGACTTACTCTCTGGAAAAGCCACTCTTATGCTTGTTTGTACCAAAGATGACTTTTGTAGATTATGCTGTGGAGTGTTAGGATCACTTCTCTATACACTGTAATCCATTTATTCTTATTTAGTGTACAAGACAGTGGGAGATTAGACATCTGGACAGATTCCCAAAATGAGAACTCAGTTATTAAAACATTTTCAAAGTAAAATAAAGTCATTTAGACAATTAAAATATAAAATTGTTAATTTAATTAAATTCAACAAACATTTTGTGAACTTTTAATGTACAAATTAAAAATCCATCCTAATGCAGTTTAAAGAAAAACAAAAAGCTTTCTATGTCTGCTTTCTGTCATGAAAAAACATTCTTCATAATCTTGACAATGCTATTTCAGCTATTATACCTCCATATATTATAGAAATGTTACTTTTTATATGCAAAATCTAGTCACGAAATCTGGGTATAAATGGGGCTCTTTGGAGTCTTCAAAAATACACATTTCAACAAATTCTGTCTTCATTTATGAATAACTTATTTTCCTAAGTGCTGGACAAAACTATCAAAGGAAATCCAAAGATGTAAGGGATTTATAAGAAGAGACAAGACAGGAGAGGACAAGACAGAAAACAGAGAATTGTCCTTTGTTAGGGCACCAGATGACAGTTGTTTTTCAAGTCCCAACAGTGGGCCCGAAGCTGCCAGCACGCTGCAACTTCGCTTCCTCCAGCAGCTGTAGAATCTCAGCATAAGGCCTAGTAACTTCTGGACTGCTTTTGGAACCGAACTATTTTAAATTAGGAGTAAAGACAAAAGAAAAGGAAGGAAATGAAGCTCTAATAAGTTTACCTCCCCACTGCCTTCTCAGAGCTCAGTAACTGCCAGGCCCCCAGCTTTAACACTGCCAACTGAAGTCATCAGTTAAAGTCATTCTTCTATTTCCCAGGAACAGAGTGGCACTTTCCATTTCTTCAGTGCTAAATAAAGACCCCTGCTGGTGCTTCACTCCTTTGTGCTCTCCTACATCTTTGAAATGTTTTATAGCTTCTGCTGCATGTCACTTTAGAGCTATTTAGGGAGCTGAGACTGTTGGACACAATTTCCAGTTGAGTTTGACTTAGACATTGCCAGCTTCTGTTGAAGGTACTGTGCCATTATTGATGCCTGAAAAGACTAAAAGGCAGATTACCGCTGTTTTCCAAAAGGCCAGATAGTATGGTAGTGTAACACAGGTTTTTTTCTCCAAATAATCTACTGAGGATAAACTGGCATCCTCTAATTTTATGTTTTTTTCCTTCACTATTCCTGCATGATTGTGTAAGGTGAACTTACTGGAAGGTAGGAACACGCTTTGAAATTTTTTTTTTGAGGCTTGTGATACAGAAAAAAAATTATTTTATTGCTACAAGAAATAAGATTTAGTCATGTAGTACAGACTCTAGATGTATGCCAAATTCTGGATCATGCCAGGAGTCTAACAGAAATTTTCACAAATCTCTGTGTGTGTGTCTGTCTCTCTGTCTCTGTCTCTATCTCTGTCTATCTCGGTCTCTCTCTCTCTCTCTCTCTCTCTCTCTCTGTCTCTCTCTCTCTCTCTCTCTGTCTCTCTGTCTCTCTGTCTCTCTCTCTGTCTCTCTCTCTCTCTCTCTCTCTCTCTCTCTCTCTCTCTCTCTCTCTCTCGTCCAGATACAAGCTATTAAGTTTAAAGTAACAGGTTAAGATGGGAGTGGAAGTGTTTCTGTTTTTTATTTTTCTTACAAAATCTTGTGACCACATTCAATTGCCAGGAAAAAAAAATGAAAGAATAAAGTTCAAAATTCATAGTGTTTTAGAATGGAGGGTACAAAAAGCACCTAATAAAAATGTCTTCATAAACACCAGCTGTAATAAATTTATAATCATAGGAAAAAGAAATAAGAAAGATGCCACCTTTGAAAGTCTCTTCGCTGCTTTCCAGCACTGGTCAGGCTGAAAAGGCTGAGAAAAGTCCTGGAAGGGTTATGCAGTGTGGGATCAGAGTAACTAAATGCTGGATCTTTGTGGGGGTGTTTGTTGGTCTCTTGCAGTGGAGTCAGGTCAGATCTTCTAAAAAGAGCAAGTTATAAAGTCCAGGGTCAGGTGCGCACCCTCGAACACACACACACACACACACACACACACACACACACACACACACACAATCCTTCATCTATCTATCTAGTATTTTAAAGAATACAGCCAATAGTTCACACCCACAAAGAGACTACCTTGATGATTCTAAGTCCCAAAGGAGCCTCCTTTCTGTTCAAATGGACTCACTAAAGACAATAATAATAATAATAATAATAATAATAATAATTCAAACTTAGCAGCTGCCTTGCTGTGTGCCCGGTCCGGGACCTGCTCGGGTGAGAGCGCAGAGCCTTGTTCCTGAGAGGCGGGCGGGATCCGAGCGGGCCGGTCCGGAGAGGCTCCCCCCGGGCCCGCCGCGGCTGCTGCTCCGGGCAGAGTTCGGAACTGGGGGAGGTTTCTGCACACTCTGTCGGAGGCTCCCTCCGCGCCCCTCGGGAGGGAGCTGGCCGGTGCGGTGGCCGATCAGCAGGCGGCCTCCGGCGCTCGATGACCGCGTCCCTCCCTCCCGGCCGCAGCCCTGCCCAGCCCTGCCCAGCCCTGCCCTGCCCACCTGAGGCTCCACATGTAGCTGTGCTTGTAGGGGAAGTAGCTGCCCGGCTCCCCGCAGCAGTACTTGAGGTCGGCGAAGCCGCAGCAGTAGAGCAGCGCGGCCGCCTCGCCGCGCCGGGGGCACCGGAAGGGCTCCACGAAGGTGTGGTTGAGGCTGTAGTAGCCGGAGCACAGCCGGCCGGTCTCGCTCATGGCGAGCGCCCCGGACGGCGCGGCCCGAAGCCCGGCCGGCTCTCCCCTCCCGCCGGCCCGGCTCTCCGCTCCGCCCCCCTCCGCTCGCGCGCAGCCCGCGCCGCAGCCGCCCCACTTCATCCAGAGAGAGCAGCGGAGGTGCGGGACGGCTGCAGCCCAGGCCGGCGAGGGGAAGTCACAGCTCCGTCCGCCCAAGCACGGGCGGGGTCTGAAGAGCGGGCAAGGTCGGCAGAGCCTGCACCAGCCCCAGCCGCTCGCTCCTAGAGTGGGGGACAAGACAGCTGCTGGCGCGGTGGGTGATTGCCGGCTTTGATAAGTACACGTGAAACAAGGCAGGTTGACCATTTTAAAATAAAAAACACGAAACGAAAATTTGTCTGAAAACTAGCCGTAGGTGTTTTAAAGACGTTGTTCAGTTGGACTCTGAGTTTAGTTTAACAACATATAAATGCAAAGAAAAGCAAGAGATGGAGGTGAAGACAAGGGAGAACTTTCTAGAAAGAGAGGCAGAAAGAGAAAAAGGTCTTCCAAGAATCTTGAGGTGCTGCAGAAACTACCCTTGTCCCTTTTTTGCTTGATATTCTCATTTTCCTGATTGATTTGTTTGGCCTTTTAAATAGCAACAGCAGGGCATGCTTACTTAAAACGTAGGCATATGAAAAAGAAAATACTAATAGCCTTTTGATGAGAAAGCAGGCTACTGACATTCATAAACATTTCAATGCAGAATTCTTCCTTCCACTTCACTTTTGTGTCCTTCCTTTGACCAGGGATGTGGTAGGTTGCAGATATCATGAACTTTATCCCTGGTGCTAGACAGTTTTGTATTTCTCTTAATATTCTTGAGCTCTGTTCTGGCATACGGTTACTTGGAAGCAGTATTATTATTTCTATTTGCTTTTAAGCATTGTTAGGAAGACTTAGAGCAAACTTCAGAACCAAGTAGTTTTTCCCTACATCTGAGTTTACATCCTTCTGGGTACACAATATTTGTGAATTCAAAACCTACCTTTCTGACTTGTGAGAACAAAAACTATTCCTAGACCTGTAAGAACTGTAGGATTCTTCCCTCTGTTGCTTCCAGGGGTTTTCTCTCCTGGGCTCCAGTAGTTTCCTCCCAAGTATGCACTGATCAGTACTCAGCTGAAGGCACCCCAGGTCCCCAAAACTGGTTTTCTTTTCTCTCAGCTGTGTCCCTGCTACTATGTCCTGCTTCCTGTAGCCTCCAGGGCTCTCCTGCACTCACAGCTCCCACCTTCTCAACTCAGGGAGCCAACTGAACTCCATCTCCTTCCACCTCTTTGTACTGTAACCTGAAAATTATCATTATGAAACTCACTTCGCCTACTTCGTGTTTCTCAGGGATCATTGCTTGTGCTACCAGCTATTCATGTGCACAACCCATTATGTCCTGTATTTTGCTCACTTAGTTGTGTCAGGAAGGAGAGTAAACTGGCCCCCAACATGCCATGGACTTGGCTGGAGAATTGGACCTGAGACAAGTGAGGCTACAAGGGGTCTCTTTCCTATGACTGGTATTCCACTATGTGGACACAAAGCCATAGGAAGCTACAGGAGAGAGAAAAATGAAAAAGAGGAGAGGAGAACAGAAGGGTTGAAAGAATGCTTTCAATTCTTGTTCAATGCTTTGTAATTCTTGTTCGAGTCTTTCTAGAGGACAATGACATTCCTACCCTGCTTCCTGAGATGCCTGTTACCTAAGAGTAAAATCCCCTTTGCTGATGAAAGTGCATTCAAGTTTGTTTTTATGACAGTGATTGCACCACATAGCAACATATCAGTCCATAATGAGCCTCATATACAATGATAGTCCCATAGTGGCATCACTTAGTGGCATCATGATTGTAGGCCTTCTCGGTGGGGGGAAGGGGTCTCCCTTGGGTAAGATCCTAAGGTTAAAGAATGCACATGCGCAACACATCAGCAACAAGAAAATATAAGGCAAAGCAGGACACAAGAGTGCAAGAGCAAGAACAAGAGCCATCTGCATCCTTATTGTACAAATCTTACTCAGGTTGTTATCTTGTATTCACATTCTTACATAGAGCTATAACCAGCACATGCCTGATTATCTGTACTAAGTCATGGTTACAAAACTGTATCCCACTCTGTGCCTGTGCCAGAGAGGCTAGAGACACATTCTCAAGTGTCCTTAGATACCCCTGAGCTTTGAAGCAGTCTGAGTGGTTCCCTACAATAGTCATTTTAATTTGTGCAAGTACACTTTGTGATGTTTGTCCAATGTCAAAATCACCCAGTGACGCATTTCTCACAATGCACCCTTTGCAAATGATGTAAGACTGTTCTTGCAATCAAAGGGTTCTAACTCAGATAGGACATCTTCTAGCACAGGAAAAGGAGGAGGCAATTGAGAGGGGAAAACTGAAGCTCTTTAGTCAATAGGCAAATTCTCTTGGAAGGGGAAGAAATGTGGCTTATATCCAGATGTCCCCAAGAGTGTCATTTCATCAGAAGTAGAGCTTTTGAAAAGTGATTGAATCATAGGGGTGCTATAGTTAAATGTGATATAAAGAGGGGGGACCGGGTTGGAAAAGTGGATCCCTGAGGGCTTGACCTGGTAGGGTATGTCTCTCTCCCTTCTCTCTACTTCCTCACCACCATCACATGAGCAAATTTTCTCCCCCAGCCCTTCTACCATGCTGATGACCATGCCAAGAATGAAACTTCTGATGTACAAGCCAAAATAAGCTTCAACTTCAAATTGTTGGTGTTGAGTATTATGCCTCAACAATGGGAAAGTAACTAAGACATAAGTTGAATGAACTTTTCTTTCTGTTGTACAAGAGAAAGAAATTTGGTAACTAAAAAGGAGGAAAGTACTTTTACAAAGTATTGCTTGTTATGATAAAATATACAAAAGTCTTGTATGGAGTGGGACACAGGTTAAATTTGGGAGCTTAACAAGCCTAGAAAAGACTGAAAGTGAATGCTGTAGAAACACACCTGAGTAGCAGGTGGAGTAGGACCAAAGGAGGGGGGTGATTGCTAAAGGTCCAGTTTTAGTGAGAAGCCGTGGCTTTCTGGTAGAACCTCTCCAATAGCCAGTATGCAACTGTCCAGGCACAGCAGTAGAAGGATAACCAGAAGGGGCTGTCACAGCTGTCACAGCCACTCCTCAGCCTGCTCAAGCCAACACACAGAAACAAAGGTAGGAGGGCATGACAGCAGCCGACAACCTTACCAAGCTTTAGATACCTAGAGGTCACTCAAGTTCGAGCCAAATGAGCAAGTCGTTTGGTTTTGTTTATTTTGTTAGTGGTACTGGGGCCCCCCAAAGGCTTCACACTGAACTGTATTGCCAAGCCTTTTAAAGTTTCTTTTATTTGGAAATAGGGTTTTGCTAAGAAGAAGAGAATAGCAGAGAAGAAGGACAGAAAGGGTGCTGATGGTGTAGTAATTCTTCAAGTGTCTCACAATTTTGACCTTGAATTCATGATCCTACTGCTTTATTCTCCTGAGTAGTTCGGATAACAGGTGTTTACCACAGCACTTGATGAAAGAGGAGACTTTTAACTCACTGGGTTTAAGGACACTTGGCTTTCAATAGATCAGAAAATGCTTATTGCTTGTTTGAACTGGCTTACATTACGGTCCCAGTCCTCAGCCTCCTCTGGGAGGAGGAGTTCCGATAGGGAGTGAGTGGAATATGGCTGATACAAAACCTAAAATTAGCTATAAATTACATTTTTTTTATTTTCTCCTCTTCTCATATCTCAGTAATTCTCAACAAAGGTGGTGCTCCTCATCAGGTGATATTTTGAAAATAAGGAGATAATTTTGGGTGTTTGCATAAGTTACTTTAGTGGCACTGAGGGCTGTGAGCCAGTGTTGCTGGAAACAATGTGGCTTTTGATATAGTTGTGCATAATTACATATGGAAACACATATTTTATTGTGAATTATATTTATTTATTATTTCTTCATATTATGATAAAATCATTATATATAATTAGTATATTAGTCTACTTGGGCTTCTGTAATAAAATACCTCAGAACAGGTGATCTGAACAATGGAAACTGATTTTCTCACAGTTCCAGAGGACGGAGCCTGAGCTTCAGGTGTCAGTAGGGCTGATTCCTTCTGAGGGCTGGAGGGAAGAATCTGTCCCAGGCCTGTCTCCTGTGTAAGTGGGATTCTGCCTGCATGTGTCATCTACCCCACTGTGTGTAACTACTTCTTCTTAGAAAGACACTCCATTTTATTAGAAATATTTATTAATAAGTTGTTAACAAATATTAAATTTCCCCTTTGATGCCTTGAAATAAAATTCATATGTAATAATGGTATATCACCAAGTCCATGGCATACGAGAAATCAGATTTGCTGTCACCTTTGAGGATCTGATGTAGGAAGAAGTGTCAGACTTCACTCAAGACCTGAAATGCATATGGTCCAGGACTAAGCTATGCAAATTCATGGTCCAATCTGCATGGCCAAAGTGCTAACTTTCCCTTTGGGATGAGCATCACTGAATCAAAATGTTCAAGGAATTTGTGCTCTCACAAGAAGACTCAACTGTTAATCTGGTACAGAATTGGGTCCAGGAGACCAATTGACTTCAATGATAACACTTCTTTAGGAAGTAGTTGCTGTCATCAATAAATGGCACAAATGCACCATTGAAGCCATATCATACCGTCAAACACTTACAACTTAGAGTGGATGCTTTTCTAGCTCTTCTGATCAAGAACAAGGTCAATTCCTGGTACAGGTTACTATTTCACAACACTGGTTTCAGAAACAGGACTGGTTTCTGTTCTTCCACTTTTCCAGGAACTCCTAGGACATAAGGAGAGGGAGAAGGATCCCTCATTCTTTTGAGGAGACAATTTGAATAGAATTTTGTCAGTATGTTACTTTCTATGCTCTGAGGGGTTTTCTCTCAAGTTCAGTATGCTCATTAAATTATTGACTTATTCTAATAGTCACTATTTAATGTTTCATGTCCCTCCAAGACAAATAAGTTCCCCATTCGTTTTGCATTTACCATGAATCAGATATTGGCAAAAAGAGTAATGCATCCTGTATTTTTCTCCCAGACTTAAGTGGAAACTGCCATTTATGTCTTGGCATTTGGTATAAATATGGGAGAGTGTTGTTGAAACTGAGACTAAGTTTGATGAGAATAGATGGTCCAGGGGTAGGTGGATCCTAGAGAGTAGCAGAAACAGGGTAATGCTATGCTCTGTATGCTTCCTCAAAGAGCAGTGTTAGAAGTTTAATTATCATTGTAACTGTACCAAGAGGTGGCACCCTTAAGAGGTGATTAGTCTATTGGGCTTTACCATTATGAATCAATTAATGCCATTGGGGTCATTGTAAAAGCACTTCAACCCCTCTGTCTCTCTTGCTTCTCCTCTCTTATCTTCCACCATGGTATGTTGCCTGAACTTGATGTTGGACTGCTCAGCCTCCATAACTATGAGGGGGAAAAAAAGTCAATCTTGAACATTCTGTTAAGTAGCAGAAAACAGAGTAAGAAAAATAATTAACATATCTAGCCTTTGATTTATGGGACCAGAAGTTTTCCAGGATAAAACTTATAGCCAATCTCTCAAGAATCTGTTTATTACGCAAAGCTAGAGAAGCTAGTTTAGACCACTTTCTACTCAAAGATTCTGCCTCTCTGTCTATTAGATAATGTGAGGCTGGGAACTGAAGGGGGAAGGGCGCTACTGGTCTGACAGTTTGAGTGCCAGGGGTGGTGATTCATCTACAAGGAGAAATGATTGTTTTATATACACTGGGACCTGAGACTACACCTTGGCCATCTTGGTTTCCTCAGGCTTCTTGGAGAACATTCTTTCCTCTTGTCCTCTCAGGTCCATGTTCTTAACTTCGATTGTAATCTCAAGTGCTTCTACCAATATTGAAATATAAATGTCCACAAAGATATTCCAGTTCAGTCTTAGGTTGGGCCACTGCACAAGTCCTGGCAATAGCACTAACAACAGCTTTGTGGAGGTGGTACTTATGCCCTGGACAGAGGCAGAAGACCATGGTGGCAGCTTGGTTGATAATAGTGAACTCAGAGGCAATAGAGATCTTTGAGTTAATCAAGGCTAACAGGGTTTGTTTGCAAAAATTAACTGTCCTCTAGAATTGAGCTGTAAATACATATAAGTAATTAGGTCAGTGAAATGTGACTAAAATATCGAACTACTGAGTAGAGCTGAAGAAAACAAGTACTTTTAATTACTATTTGTACAACAGCAGTTTACTATTAGAAGATGTAAGCTGTGGTAGCACAGGCCGAGTCATTTTCAAGCTTGGAATGTTTTTAGTAACTATAAACTCGAAGAAGGTAAATATTATTTTTCCTTAAATAATATTTTTTGGTAGAAGAGTTATCTGGAAAAAGTGTTAGAATGTTTATGATGCATTTATTGTGTAAAGTCTTGAAAAGTTGACCATCTGTTCTTATACAATGAAGCAATCATTAGTTTTTTTTTTGTTTAGAAAAAGCAAATGTTTAAGTGTATGATATAGCAGAATATCAACTAGATTACAGCATTATTGTAACTGCTATAAATTTATAACATTCAAATTAAGGAAGGACATATTTAAACATCTGTTAAAGTCATATGAAATCTGATGCTAAGCATCAATCTAACTGGTGGGAAATTCAATCTCATATTTTTGAAGTCGCCCGCCTCTGCCTTGGTAGTACAAATGTCCTGAGAAGAGTATGCAGTTCAAATAATCTGTCTGTACCAAAAGTAGGCTTATGCCCAGTTGTAGGCATAAAAATGTACATTTTTGCAGGTAAGCAAAACAAGTCATTCTACCTTTTTATTATCACTATGTGCCAGAAATTTTAAACAATGTCAGTGATAAAATGCTGTATTCTCTTTAAAAATATACTGAGGGTCTAAATTCTGAACAATTGTGAATATTGTTGCATTTTAGCAACACATATGCAAGCCTCAAATTAGCGCCTTTATTACTTGTTGTTTGATATTTTATTCTACATGAACTTTTAATTAGAAGAAACTTTAGTTTTCATTTCCATTCCCACCTGTTATAGATCAATTATACATATTTTTAGCAATAAATTACTAAAAAGTAGGAATTGGATGAATTTGGAGGAATTTTTAGCAATAAATTACTAAAAAGTAGGAAGTGGTGTTACATATTCCTGTACTTACATAGTAGACTCAAAAAAAGCAATGATTACACAGTTTGTACAGATGAATACAAAGAGCTTCAGTTACTTCAATTTTCTCTTTCTATATCACATTGTGGAATTCTCATTTCTGCTTAAAATTTAAAACAGTACATCAGAGTACAAACTGCAATGCATAGTATTTTGTTTGATTTATGCATTTTCTCTCATACATGAAAGATTTAATTGAATTTGAGTACTATCTTTGAAAATTTGTGTTTGCACCTGTCGTTTCAAAACTGAAGAATGAATTAGGAAAACAATTATTACTTTATGATTAATTCTAAAAGTAAATTTGTCTCATGGAGATAAAAATGTTTTTAAAAATTGGCTTCTGGTATCAAATGTTGTTTTTACTCCTGCCCTGCTATTCAATCCATTATACATACATAGCATGACTTTTGGCATCAGGACCTTTTTTAAGGGTGGCAGGAGCAGGTGTACCCAACACAGTGCCTGGGAGAGTTTTCATAACACCTAGGCCTTCTCCACTTACTGCCCATCAATAATATAACCACCTTCTGTCTTGATTTACAGTTCCGATTTTTACCTATATTATTGAAAAAAAACTTTCTCTAAACACAGCCCTGGGGCAAAGAAAACTTCAACTTTCCTTATTCATTTGTGTATTATTAGAAGGAGATGAACTGGGATGGGGATGGAGAATTTGGAAATGTGCACTATATATATTGCACTATGTGTTTTGAGATGGGAGATACGAAGCATAACATCATGGTTAATTATCTTGACTAGACAATGAGATGCCTGGATAGAGGATAAAACATTTTTGTCTATGAAGTGATTAGTGTTGGAACCTGTGAACTGGGCAAAGAAGATTGCTATTGTTAGTGTGAGCAACCATGAAGCATCGCTCACAAAATCCTGAACAAGGCAAAATTATGGAACAAAGGGGAATTTGCTCACTACTTCAGCCAGAACATCAAGTTTTTTTTCCCTTGCGCATCAGTGTTCCTGATTCTTG